AGATCTGTTGAAATAGACCTGGGTAGCCCCATGCACTTCACTTTGCGTATGTGGAAATACCGAGTGCGCCTCATCGCCTGACAAGCAGCTCTCCAGCAAAGGATAATGGAGAAAGAGAGAACGATCGCACTAACGAAGGCAATACGCTTCCCAGGACTTGTAGAGCACTTTGCAGTTCTATGAGTGCTTTCACACGTGGCACCCCTTTTGATCCTCACAGCAACCCAGCACATAAGCTGGGCTGGCAACTTTTGTCCTCATCTGACAGGGGAGAAAACTGCGGTGCCGCAAGGTGAAGGAAAGAGCAGAACCTCACACTGTACGTCAGTGACAAGCCCATCACCCAATTCCACCTCCTCTTTCCTGACTCGTTCTAATATTTGCACTGCCATCCAGTAGAGGACATCGTAGAACCAAATTTGTCTCTTGCCAGTGTCCACTCTTTCCTCCTTCCCTCTTCTGTTCTTTCCTCCTTCCTTCCTTTAAAACGAAAATTTCAAAATCCACAAATTTGCAAAGAGAACAGTCATTCATAATCCCACTATCTAGAGATAACTACTATTTGCATCTAGTAATTATTTTATGCACATTTGCCTGTTGTTAAATTTTCTCAAAAGCATAATTTTAAATGTCTGCAATGAATTTCATTTTATTTTACTTAACATTACCCATCTTTTGTTGTCGGACATTTAGAATGTTTTCACCTTTTCTGTAATTTAAATAACATGATAAACATCATTATACATTAAGTCTTTGTGAACTTTAAAATAAAACACTGTCCTTGAGATACTTTTCTTTTTTTCTTTTTTTTGCGGTACGCGGGCCTCTCACTGTTGTGGCCCCTCCCGTTGCGGAACACAGGCTCCGGATGCGCAGGCTCAGCGGCCATGGCTCACGGGCCCAGCCGCTCCGCGGCATGTGGGATCTTCCCGGACCGGGGCACGAACCCGTGTCCCCCGCATCGGCAGGTGGACTCTCAACCACTGCGCCACCAGGGAAGCCCCGAGATAAATTTCTTGAATGAAATTTTAAAGCCAAAGTGTTGCCAGATATTTAAGACTTTGGATAGATATTTGACATTGCCATCCTGAAGAGTTTTACCAATTTTACAGCTCCATGAGCACCAGTTTTCTGCACTTACTATTATTGTTTTTGAACTTTTAAAAGTTCACAGGCATTGTTTTAATTTCGATTTCTTTAATTACCAGTTTGGATGATTTTCTCTTTTTAAATAGTCATTTTTGGTTGGTCATTTTTATTTCTTCTTTTGCCAGTTTCCTGCTCACGTCCTTTCTTATGATTCTCATTACAATTATGATTATTTTGCTTTGGCTATGCTTTTCTTATTAATATCTTAGGAATCTTTATATATTAAGGGAACTAATATTTATGTGGCAAATAATGTTTTTCCTTAGGTTGAAATCGTAGTGAGTTGAACACTATGAGCCATGTTGGGTTTTTATCCTCTTTTTATTGAAGCGTAGATGATTTACAACGTTGTGCCCATCTCTGCTGTGCAGTTGAGCCATGAATGGATGAAGACGACAATTCTAGTGACAAAGGAAAGTTATGCAAAGAAGGGATTAGTGGTTCTGTGTTAATCTCATTTCATGGAGAGGTAAACTGAGACTCAGAGAGGTCCAGTAACTTGCCACAGGTCACACAGCACAAAGCATCAGAAATCTTATTTGAACGCAGGTCTGTCTGTCTCCAACTTCTGTGTACTTTCCACTGTGTGGCATCTTGGCATCCCAGAGGGAGGTGGTGATCCAAGTGATGTTGCAGATATAAATTGGTTGCAGCCCACAGAAAAGACCAGGCAAGGAAAGGGACAGGGGAGTGAAGAAAACAATTAGGGGATTGAGAATTGGAGTCCTCAAAGAAATACGTTCAAAGATGTGAAGGCAAAGGTCTTCATTCATCAAAGGGAGATGGAGTAACACGGCCAAGCTCCTTTCCTCACCCCCACCTTGCCTCACCCCCATCAGCACCCAACCTTGGGTGCTTTTAAAGCCACTCTTGGCTTTCTTTGAGCTAAAATCTCTCTAAGATTCATTTTCTTAAGAAGACTGACATGGAATAAACTTTTGGGCGGTATCATTTCCAGTATTTCGGATTCCTACTTTCTCTCTCTCACATTCCTATTTCTTTTTATTTATTCTTCTTAAACTGCTGAGTGTGATAAATTAGGGCTATTAAGAGACTGTTTGTTATTCTGTCCTGAGTTACTATTTTGAGAGCTAAAAACACTCATAAATATAGGGATGTTCCGACTGTAAATGGATATATTTTAGCCAGTGAAAAATTCATTTCCTCTAATACACGTTTTTAAAGTGTCCTCCTGAAATTCTGCATGTTATCTCACCATGATCTTTCACTGTCCCTCCCATTTTTATCCAATAAAAGCAGATCCAGCATCATTGCAGTTCCTTTTTCTCTGCACCATAAATAACAGCTGGGGAAGGGGAGCATCTCCCACAATACAGCGGCTTTGTATTTTAACCAATTTTGGAGTTTATTGTTAAGCCTTCTTGGGATGGGCACCAAGAGTACCTGCATGCCCATCAGTTATCTCATGGCCTTTCTCGTTTTGGACAAAAAGGTACTCCAAGCAGAGTGAATTTTGCATGTGATTTCAGCCTGACTTTCTGGATGGAAGATGGGATATGGTAGGTTGTCATACACCCAGGATCTTCTGGGCCAGCCTCAGTTTTTGATTATGGGCCCAGTGAAATTATTGAGAGCTACCTTTGTTACTCTCAAAAGTGTCGTGGCTTGGATGATAAATGATACGGTCACTGTAGATGTAGGTTTAGAAACCCAGTGTCCTATATTGCCTCTCACCTTTTCCCGGTTTCCCATCAGATGCTTATTCTGTGTGTTGAAACCTCCCTTCCCTTCCATCAACCACGCATCACAGTCAGGAGACTTACAATCAGAAGTAACATCTCCAGGCTGGCAAAAGAGAGAGAGAGAAAGAAAGAAACATGATGTTATTTCCCACCGCGTGCAAGGCCCTATGCGAGAAGCTTTTCAAAACAGTCATGCTTTCATGCTAAGGGCAGCCCCCACGAGGCACTGTAATTCATCAATATCAAGAGGCATAGTTTTTCATTCATTAATGTCTGGAAATTGGGCTGTGCCTTATCACTGCTGTCATCTTATAATTGCTGTTGGTCCTGTAGCATCGTGATGTACCTGTCATTGGCTGTGTTTGTACAAGCATCAAAACCCACAGAATGGGTGTCGGCAAGTTGGATGAAAATTCTAGAAGCATTCTAGGAGCATTCTTTTAGACCCCAGGAATCAAACAATTGTGGAGGAAGGGATGCAGAATTGGCCGATCAGAGCTATTTAGCAATGTCTGGGGGGCAGACATCGATAGTAGACCAGCGCTACGTTGCTGCAAAGCCAGATTAAACACTCAGCAAACACGACTTTTGGCTCTTTTCAGGATTCTTGTAAGAAATGCTGCGTCACCAATAATCTTGATGACACGGAGGGCCGGGGAAAGTTACCTATCTGATGATTTTGGATGGCAAAGTGACTCTGAATATGAAGAAGGTTTAGGAATACTGCAACCAATTTGATTCATTTATCAGTTTTCCTTTTTATGTGTGCCAAGGGTGACATGGGATAAAATCTACGCCAATTAAATCTCAAAGAGACTTTAAGCTAATTATGAAATGAAAATTCCAAGAGATAAAAAACATCAGGTCAAAGGTTTTTGGAAGTCGTCTTTCTTTCTTAGTGATATATAAGAAAACAGGTGTCCTGCAATCGATGGTGTCTTCTGGTGAGTAACTAGTAATATACTAGTTACTCCTGAGCGCATTTCACAGGTGAAACTAGAAACTAGATGTGTTTTGTTTTCCCTAAGATGAGGCAGTTAGCTAGTGGCCATGCAGGAGCAGGGTTGGAATGACTCAAAAAGCTGACCTAGATAACAGTCATGGCGTTGCTATGAAGCGTCAGACAGCGTCCGGGAGACCCAGCAGTGAAGGAAACAGGTTCGGTCCCTGCCCTCACAGAGCTTCCAGTCCTGGGAGTGGAGGGAGGGACGGGGGGGACAAAGAGGTGGGTAATTGTGTACGTCCTGAAGGGTCTGATGGTAGCAAGAGAATCAGCCCTGAACCTGGGGCTCTGGGGTAGCACCCAGGAGGAAGGGGCTCCCAAGTCATGGCCTGGAGAGTAAGGAGGGATTATTAGTCAAGCAAGAGCTCCTCTTCCGGGGAGAAGGAACTGTTCCACGCAGCGGGAGAGCCAGTACAAACCCCTGGTGATGCCGCTGCCAGCATCCTTTGCACGAGTGCACCACTCGGCCTTCTGGAGTTGTTGATGGTGGCTGGCTGGGCAGTGCCCTGTGAGAGACAGCCGCAGCTCTCCTGTGGAGAAATAAGATGAACTTCCCTGTGTCCTGAGGCTTTGGACCTTGGTTTCCCTAATTCTCACAGAAGCAGGGGGTTGGCATTAAAAACTCCAATCTGAAGGTGAGAAAAAACAAAGTCCCAAGTGCTAACGTGCTGTGCCCAAGGGCATACAGGTCATAGATGATGGAGGTAAGGCGTGAACCCCAGTGGATTGCACTCAAAGTGAGTTTGTGCCAAATATCAAAGTAGGTCACACGCTCCGGGACAAGAGGAGACGCAGGATCCATTTGACTTCATCCCCCACACCCTGGTGTTTGGGGTGGAGGGAAACAGAGGCGCCACCGGGGAGACGTGACCTGCCCGGGTCACACACGGCCAAGGTCAAGCTAGGAAGTGAGGTGTCAAGGGGCGTCTTCTCCACTCACTCGTATGCCCATGACTTTTATCAACTTGTATTGAAGGATCGTCCAAGCAGAGCAAACCACAGCTTTGAAGCAATTACTTGGTGATGATTAGGAGGGGCTGAGGGGATTGTTTGCTTATTTGTGTGAACCTAAAATTCCTGCTTTCTTAATTAAGCTTTAACTCTGGGTTTTGCCTCAAGCTTTCCTTTTTTTTTCTCTTTAACAGGTCTCAGCCCTCCTCCATCACTGAAAGCCTTGGGCATTGCCTGTTTGATTTCTCTCTTCTGGGAAGCATCTGCTCCTGCCCCACCACCGAGGATACCTCCCTTTTTTAGCCCCAGTCCTCAGCTGCTTTGAATTTCATGATTAGCAGCCACGAGGAATCAGTTTCCTGATGACTCAGGAGCAAGGCATGCAGGGAGTTCTCTACCTGGGGCTGCTTCCTCAAGAACTCACCCCAAGTTCCCTGCAAGGGAGCAGCCTTCCCTGATTAGCACTGAGTCTGTCTGAGGTGCTCCAGGTCTGGCCGTCATGGCCCTGGTGACCTCGTGGTTTTTTGGCTTTAAACCTCCAGCAACTGGCAAAGCAACCAGTACACAGGAGGTGCTTGATAGACGCTTCTTGAACACATGAATGCATGGAGGAATGAATGGACAAATAAACCAGGCCAGTGTCCAGGTGAGTGCAAGTGTCTGGAGGGGGTGTTGGCGGCGGGGGAGTTGTCACCTGTCTTATCAAGTAATATTGTTAGGACTCACTTATCACAGATGGAAATGTTTAGAGCTGTTTAATAGTCGCGTGTTGGAATATCTGTATGCCCAGCCTCCTCGGCTGGACATAATTTATGCATCAGTTCCTTCCTAGCCTGCTTGCTGGCTTTAAGAATTTGGTTGTGTCCTTAGCTCACTTCTCACCCCTAATCGGGAACCCCTTAGAAATCCCAGTGTTGCATTCCTCATTCATATTTACTGGACAGCGACTGTGCTCCCTGTTAAAGGCACAGGGCTGAGGCAGACAGACACGGGATCCTTGCCTCTGGAGACCTTTTTGTTTGTTTGTTTTCTTTAAACATCTTTATTGGAGTATGATTGCTTTACAGTGGTGTGTTGGTTTCTGCTTTACAACAAAGTGAATCAGTTATACATATACATACGTTCCCATATCTCTTCCCCCTTGCGTCTCCCTCCCTCCCACCCTCCCTATCCCACCCCTCTAGGTGGTCACAAAGCACTGAGCTGATCTCCCTGTGCTATGCGGCTGCTTCCCACTAGCTAGCTATTTTACGTTTGGTAGTGTGTATATATCCATGCCACTCTCTCACTTTGTCCTAGCTTACCCTTCCCCCTCCCCGTGTCCTCAACTCCATTCTCTATGTCTGCGTCTTTATTCCCGTCTTGCTTCTAGGTTCTTCATGACCATTTTTTTTTTTAGATTCCATATATATGTGTTAGCATACGGTATTTGTTTTTCTCTTTCTGACTGACTTCGCTCTGTATGACCTTTAAGGCATTGGGAGAGAAGTTGGGCACATTCAGATGGGCGAGGTGTGGATTTCCATGGGAACGTGGAGCGGAGGCACCTAAGATGGACTTGTGTCATCTGAAAAGGCTTCCTGAGGAACGGGTGCATGCCTGTTAGTCAACAGAGGGGAGGGAGAGAGAGTGTGGGGTTCTCTGTTACTGTGTAACTAGCTGCCCCGAAACGTAGTGGTTGAGGCAGCCACCATTTTGCTGTATCTCACAATTCTGTGAGCCAGGAGTTTGGATAGGGCTCATTTGGGGAATTCTGCTCCATGTGGCATTAATTGAGGTCCTTTGACAGTATTCAGCTGGAGGCGAGGCTGGTCTGGTGGATCCTAGAGGGCTTCCCTCTGACGCCCGGGGCCTCGGAGCGGGCAGTTGGCGGCTGGCCTCTCCGGGAGGCAGGCAGCTTTCTTGCAGGCCACGCAGGGGTCCAACAGAGAGGGGGTGGCAGCTGCCAGTCTCCTAAGGTTTGGGGCCACAAGCTGGCAGGGCGTTCCCTCCCTGAGCCCCGCTGCTCAAGGCAGCCACGGAGCCTGCCCAGATTCAAGGGGAGAGGATGAAGGCCGCCCCTGTTGATGGAGACGGGCCAAGGCGTCCGTGGCCATCTGGAATCTGCCATCATGGAGAGCTGGAAAGTGGGTTCCAGGCAGAGTGCAGAGGTGAGAGCCTGACCCAGTGGGGGTGATTGGAAGCAAGCCCTCAGAGGCTGGACCCGAGGCTGCAGGGGCCGCAGTCAGGGACCAGGCTTCAGAGCGGGCAGAGGTCAAGCAGAGCAGACCTTGTTGGGACGTGTCGTGGAGTGTGGGATTTGCCCTGGGGACAACAGGAAGGCACTGAAGGATTCTGAGCAGGGATGTGACACGATCTGATTTATACCTGAGGATCACTCTGGTGGCCGTGTGGGGAATGTGGGAAAAAGTTTGCAGAGGGAGCCAGTGACACTGGCATGGAGGATGGGGTTGAAGTCATGCAGGTGAGAGAGATGGATGCCTTCAAATAGGCAGGGGTGGGGCTTCCCTGGTGGCGCAGTGGTTGAGAATCCGCCTGCCAATGCAGGGGACACGGGTCCGGGAGGATCCCACATGCCGCGGAGCGGCTGGACCCGTGAGCCATGGCCGCTGAGCCTGCGCGTCCGGAGCCTGTGCTCTGTGACGGGAGAGACCACAACAGTGAGAGGTCCGCGTACCGCAAAAAAAAAAAAAAAAAAAAAATTGCAGGGGTGGTGGGAACAACTAGACAGAAGGGGGGATGTTAGGGACATGGGTGCAGAGAAGGACTTAGCACCCTGCCGGCCCCTGTCTCTGGCTGCCCAGCCTCGCTCCTGCATGTCAGAGAAGACCCCATCCTATGCCACCCCCGTGACAAACGTCTGGGCAGCAGTGTGCACGTTGGCCCTGCACACACAGTTGCACAAGCAGCTGAGTTTTTTTAAAATTTTTAAATTTAATTTTTTATTTTTTTAATATCTTTTTTGGAGTATAATTGGTTTACAATGTTGTGTTAGTTTCTGCTGTATAACAGAGTGCATCAGCTATATGTATAATACATCCCCTCCCTCTTGCGTCTCCCTCCCACCCTCCCTATCCCACCCCGCTAGGTGGTCACGAAGCACCGAGCTGATCTCCCTGTGCTATGCGGCTGCTCCCCACTAGCTATCTAGTTTACATTTGGTAGTGTATATATGTCCATGCCACTCTCTTACTTCGCCCCAGCTTACCCTTCCCGTGTCCTCAAGTCCATTCTCTATGTCTGCGCCTTTATTCCTGTCCTGCCCCTAGGTTCATCAGAACCACTTTTTTTTTTTTAGATTCCATATATATGTGTTAGCATATGGTATTTTTCTCTTTCTGAATTACTTCATTCTGTATGACAATCTCTAGGTCCATCCACCTCACTACAAACAACTCAATTTCTTTTTTTTCTGGCTGAGTAATATTCCATTGTATATATGTGCCACATCTTCTTGATCCATTCATCTGTCAGTGGACACTTAGGTTGATTCCATGTCCTGGCTATTGTAAATAGAGCTGCAGTGAACATTGTGGTACATGACTCTTTTTGAATTATGGTTTTCTCATGGTATAAGGCAGTTGAGTTTTAATCCCAGCATTTCAAGCATCAGTCAGCTTCCCGTACTTGAAAAATGGGGATGATAGTATTAAATGTGACAAACATTTAACCGTCTCTGAAGCTGTGATCTCGGTAGCAGCTGGGAAGAAATGATCAAGTGGTGACAAGGACGGAAATCAGATTTCCTGTTGGAGAAGTTGAGAAAACATTTCCTTTTTCTAAACAGAGAGGTTTGCATTGACCTGATTCATTTCAAACCTTCATGGGCTTATTTTGGAACCCTCAGATCTGGAATTCGTAGGCTTGAGGGTTTCCTTCTTCCCAAATTGGTCCCCTACGTTCCAGGGAGGTGAGAAGACCCACAGAGCATGAAGTCTGCATCAGGCCTGCTTGGATTTGAAACCCTCCCCAGCTGAGTCACTTACCCATCTGAGCAGCAGTTTCCTTATTCGTAGAATGAGAATCACTGATTTCTACTCCACACAGTTGGTGTGAGCATGCCACGTGATACTGCGGATAGCTGGACAAGTGCTGCTAAACTGACCCTCACACACATTCTACGTGTTCGTTCAGGGCCTTCCTCGTGCAAATGTGAGGGAATGGAGGCTCCAAGGGGTCAAGCAGTGTATCCACCCAAGTTCACCTCCAAGAAGAGGTTTGAAGCTCTGCGATGGTGACACGGGTGAGACTTTCTCTCTGGCTCTGGAACACAGCACTCGGAGAGTGGATGGGAGTCACGTGGAAGCAAGTGAGAACTCTATTCACGGAGTATCTTCCTTGCAAGTAGTTACACAGGCACGTGCGTGTGTGGTAGTGAGCTCCCCATCACCAGAAGTGTTCAAACAGAAGCTGGAGTCACCTGGTCAGAACTCTGGTTGAGACAATTTTGTGACTCACTGGAGGGATCAGAGCAGCCCGGCTTGGAGAGTCTCTAGATCCATAAAATACATGTTTCCTGAACAAATGCTGAAATCACCCCAAAGGGTTATTTATCGCCAGCCCCTCGACAGCGGATCCTTTGCTGGATGGCTTAGTGTCAGGATGAATTGGCTCTCTGAGGGGTGGCGGGCCGTGCCTGCGGACACAGCCGGGGCCAGCTGGGTTTCCTAGAACACCTTGGACCGCAATAAACAGATCACATTCCCCTGCGTACAGGTCGGCTTCTGCCAATGCCATTAGGCCTCTGTGATGGAGGCCAGGATGGACTTGCCTCGGCTTCCCGGGGTGTATCCGGTTTCTCCACCAACAGGGAAACCTGAGGAGACCCCATCTACCATCATGCTGTGGAGAAGGACCGACAGTAACTCTGAAACAAGTAGGCTAGCCGGGCCCTGGGGCCAGAAGTGTAATGGAGTGTGTTTGATTTTAAATTCAGCATTCCTCCCTCCTGTCTCTCTCACCCTGGCCCCTGCACCCACCCAATGCAAGTTTGTCTCCCTTTAATGGCTTGGTCGTCTCACTCGGGGGTCAGAAAGCTTTTTCTTAAAGGACCAGAGAGTACATATTTTCAGCTTTGCAGGCCATACGGCCTCTGTCACAGCTGCTCAGCCCTGCTGCCATTGTGCAGAGAGGGCTGTGGACAATATGTGAATAAATAAGCACCACCATGTTATAAACACAGCCAGAGACAAGACAGAAATAAATACAGCCCCATGGGCGTGGATAAAATCGCATTTACAAAAGGAGGCAGCAGGCTAGATTTGGCCTGTGGGCCTCAGTTTCCTGACCCATCATTTCTAGCTGGTCCTCAACAAATCGAGAGGAAAATAAAGTGCATCCCTTACGCCGAGGCGTGGCGGTGCGGGAGTTAACGAATTCACTCCGCAAAGTGGAACGCAGCCTCAGCCTCACGTAACGAGGTCTGGGGAGACGGTCAGAAGGCAGAGTCTCAGCACCTCCCTTCTCTTCTTTCTCCTCCTCCTAAACCTCCCCCCCACCCCCGCCCCGCAGTTAGAATCTGCATTTTCACAACATTCTCCAAATGATTCACATACACATTCAAGTTTGGAAAATACTGCGTTATGAGAGAGAGCAACCTTCGGGGTTGTGATTAACACCTGAGTTTAAATAATTTGTGTGTGTGTT